AAAAAAAAAAAAAAAAAAAAAAAAAAAAAAAAAAAAAAAAAAAAAAAAAAAAAAAAAAAATCTTTAGCAATTATGTAGAAAGTTTGAAATTGAAACAAAGTCTTCAAGGAGCGAATGAGTTTCATGAAAAATATTTAAATGGTTTACAAAAATGTATGATAAATCTAAAACAAGAACATGTGTAAACTCCTAGACGCCCCGGAACACTCCTTTGTGGCTTTAAGATTCAGCATGCGTTCACATAAAAAAAAATAAAAAGGAAAAAGGAAAAAGGAAAAATACTCAGTAAGAAGCCTACTTGTAGGTTCTTTTCGCATCCTTATCTTAGTAGGTATCCACGGTCTTATCTGGAGTTTTAAGGAGTGCGATCTAAGCTACAACTCTCTTTTCTGTATCTTAGGAGGCTTGCCCATATTATGCAATGGAATGCTTAGAGTTTTGAGGTGAGGTGCGACCTCACAAGTAAATATGAGGGGATCGTATGGCTAGATCTAAATATGTAACTCTCTCTGCAAACCATCTGTGGAGGTTAGCTGACAACCCTCACATGCGACCATACATCCAATAAATTTGGGGTTGCAATCCCCTATGTGCCAATCAGTTACTAAGTTATCCTACGTGGTTCCACGTTTCCCCACTCAAGGCGGGTTTCTATGGCCCAGGAGTCCTGTTCAGAAGGACCCCTTAGCTATAAATTATGGCTTCCTAACCTTTTATCTATTGCATCAAGAAAATTTTAAATTTTGATTAAAAAGATAATTTTCATACATAAAAATATATTTAAATAATTATTTAAAATCGTTACCGTAACTAAAAAATATATTTTCAAAACTTATGCTATTTTCAGCTTGATCACGAAGGAGTTGACTCCAACTTAAGTCATATATAAAAATATTTGGTTGGCCCGTTACTAGATGCACACAAAGAAGATGAATTCAGGTACTCAATGATCAAGTAGCACGATTGTCATACAAACGTTTTCAATCTCTTCAATTCATGACCCTTTCTAAAAGGTACTTGTTTCCACTACTAATTCATGTCATGGAGGATATTACATCAATTTTGTCATTGCCACAACTATCGAAATATCAAGTATGTTTTGGATTTTTTTTTCTGCTTATATTTAGTCGACTCTATTTTGTCCAATTTAATAAGTGATTTCTAGTGACTAGCTAATATGAACCACGGCCAAGGCTGTCGGTTTATATCTAAAATTAGAGAACTTATTTTTAGAGGCTACATAGACAGGCTACCATAGACACTTTCTAGGGTTGTACCATTAGAAGTATGAGAAAAAAAACTATGAAAATACTTCTTGCAAATCTCTCCCGAAATCTTCATTTTTGGTGCATTATCTCCTGCATTTTCTTATTAGATTTACGCATATTGACTTATTTACATCAATAATTACAAACACAATAACGTTAGTATATGAAATTTGGTATACTCACTATTTAAAATCGATAAAAATATCAAGATTTCAATTTTATAGAAATATCAATGTAAATCATTCATCTTCTTTATCGTTTAATGTGCACTTCACATATACCACCCATACGAATGACCATGGATAATGATAATGCATATGTATTTCTTACCGTTTTGCTACCTATGTATCATTTCTTACTATCTAAAAGTGTTTGAACACATATCTCCATTGATATCTCATAAACTATCAAATCTACAATATTTAGTTATCCAAAAACTCGTACGATTTTAACCACCTACATGGGTGACCACCATGGTATATAAATCCATCATCCCAAATGGTATAATAGGAATAAACGTCACCATACTTCTAAAATCTCGAAATTCAGAAAAATAATTGCTATCGACTTTCATACATTCACAAGCATTTGTCAAATTTTTGTGCTAAAAGTTTCAATAGTTTAGGAGAGGAGAGAGAAATAGAGAAAGGTAAAAAAGAAAGTAAACAGAAGAAGAAAGAAGACATTACAATTGGAGGCGGCGTTTAGGACGTAGCGCATCTTCATTGTCCCACACAGACATCAAACCTTTATGCGAACAACAAATGAACCTATTTCATAACATAAGCGATTTCAGCAGATCAGACTCATTTCTCTCAGCCCAAAAGAAGGAAAAGTGAATATTATGATTGAAGTTTGATTACTTACATGCTGGGAGATTTGAAATATCAGCAGAAACCGCACAAGGAATTCCCAAATTTGAGAGAGCCCCCCTAATGATTCCACATGGGAAATATAGATGCATGCTTGTTGCCTGAGCTGCCTTGTTTTCACCATCTGCAGAATTATCCTGTGATTCACCTTGAGGAGGATCGACCGACATGCGTGTAAGCCAGCGGAATCGATTATCTTGCAAAACAAAGGTGCCCTGAGAATCAAAATAATTTTCCACATTTAGGACAAGTTCATGTAGGATAAAGTACACAGGAAAAAGAAAGGGCTTCTCCTAAGTTTGGCTTCTGATCATACTCTATGATTTGTTTTCAAGTTGTCTATCTGCTTTTTGAAGAGTTCAGACCAGAAGTCCTTGCAGATAAATTTGATTGCTTCGAGATGATCAGTGAACCGAGGTCGCTCCATCGTATACCTAGTGAAAATAAAGATTGGTAGTTGAGTTGCAATATTTAACCATCAAATAGCATGAATAAAAAAACCATAAAATGGGCAAGAAAAAATGGAAGCCAAGTCATAATGTATAGACAATCTTGGCAGAAAATTTAATTTGAATCAAACACAAGCAAAACAAGGAAAAGAAATAACTGGAGGAAGATCGAAGAGTTCCCAGTTTCTCCTTTCCTAATAAAGCATACCCTCCCTCCATCTTCACATCTACTATGTACCTCTCTTACTCCAACTTCTCGTCACATTGTTGGGCGAGATTCTTGCATTAGTATAAGAGGTACATAGTAGAGGGTAATGAAGAATTCCTTATAAGGGTATGGAAACCTCTCCCTAACAGACATGTTTTAAAAACCATGAGGCTAATGGTAATAATGAGTCAAAGCGGACAATATCGGTTAGCAGTGGGCTTGGGTCGCTACACCTAGAATCCTCCAAATTTCCATGCCATTGATCCTTTGCAGCGATTTAGAAAGGATTAGGGATAACTACATCGGTTAAGCTAACACTAGTGGCCAAATACAAGATGTGGGATAATGCAAACTGACATTTTTTACCATTGGCAACTAACTGATGCTCCCAAAGCACCTGAAGAACTGCTGCAAGAAAGCTTAAATGATCCTTGAATTGACACTACAAACCAGAATATCATAAAAGAAGGACAAGAAAACCTGTATGAAAAGGCCGAAGGATATTAATCTTAAGAGATTGGAAATGCAAGGGAATATTAGTCAACCTTCACGGCGTTACTATGGATATCATCTAGTAAGAGCTTAATCGGGGATACCCTTCCAATTGATTATGGAAAAGATAATGCCTGCATAGAGTTCATCGAACAATTCATCCGCAACTCAAATGGGATATTTGATTGGAATCATTACTCAACTTAAAGCTTCATAACCAACATAAAAACGTAAGTTCTTAATCAATAAAAAGAAAAAGGGCTTGAAAACAATCTAGTGCTCAGTTAAACAATCCCATTTAATAACATTCCCATAAATAACCACTCAATTTCATCATTTTGAAATAGTGGATAAGGATAGGGAACGTGTGATTTATCTAAGATATAACTAGTAAGTAGTAACAATGCAATAGTATGGTACTAGTTTTGCGATGGAGGTAGATCCATAAAAGGCTTGAAACCCGAGGGAAATTTATCCAAGCCTTGTTGAATTTCCTCCGATACATAAGTACACAACAATTCCTCTTCTACCTTTTCCCTCAGCTCAACTAAAACACTCTGGCCCTACCCTTTAATAGCCTGAACAAGGATTTCAGTGTCACCTGCAAACGTATAAAACTTGGTATCACCCATAAACACATGATCATTTCTCCAACCTGCAAATTTCCAATAATTTCTTTCAATCCACCTTCACAACCCCTAAGGTAGTCATGCTCCTAGTTTTCTCGGTTATATCAGTTGTCCTCGTCAATTTATCACTCAGTTCCTTCAATTCTTTCTCATTCTGAGAATCTGGCTTCTCCTTCTCTTGATTTTTCCTGTTTATTGAGCAATAGGAAAATGAGGGCTATTTTGGACTCGTTACCTTTGTTGGAGACTTTCACTTTAACCCTGATGGGGTATTCACTTTCAGAGCCCCTATCTATCCAAAGGTTTCTCTTGTAATTCTTTCTTTTTGTGTTAAGTCAGTATTTCTCCTTCCCCTCTCCTTAGGTCAACCGTTTCCATTTTTTCCTCTATGCCGAAGGTAAAGATTTTCAAGAAAGTCAAGTTCTTGTTTGGCAGGTTATGCATGGAAGAGTTAATACCTTAAACCAAATCGGCTAAGCGGTCCATGGTGATCCGGATCATTTTGTTGTATTGTTGGCGACAAAGGATAGGGATTAATCTTCTTTCGGGGTATAATTTTTCTAATACTATTTGGAGTTGCTTCTTTGAGGTGTTTGATTATTCTTTGACCAGATGTCCGGACTGCAAAGAGACGATCACGATCTCCTACTCCATTCAATTCTCTAGAGAATGGACGTTTTTGTGGTAGGTGGTGGTGTGTACTATTTTGCCGCCTCTGGGGTGAGAGAAATGATCGTTTCATCAAGGGTCAAAAGAGAACTTCGAGTGAATTTGGTCCTTAGTTAGATTCTACGTTTATCCTTGGAATTTCCAGCATCATTTTCTAAATTTCAAACTAGCTTTGTGTAGAATTAAAAATCTAGTCTTCGTTCCTTCGATTGACCTTAAAACTTTAACTTGGATCTTGACCTTTAGGGTCATTTTATAGTATTTCTCCCTAAATGAGAAGTTATTATACTTCCACATCACAGGACTTGGAACAGACAAGTTTAGATGAACGAGAAGTTTTTATAATTCACATCAAAGGACTTGGAACAGACAAGTTTGGATGAATGACAGAAGGAAAGGACTCAAATATTTCCCAAAAAACATCTTCTAAATTTGACTTCACCTCCTGAAGAGAATTTTGGGTAAAATATGGTTGTTTTTGTAAAAAGAACACATAAAAGAGATTTCTGTGAGGATCAAAACATTTATACCCTTTTTTATTTGAAGCATAACCCAAGAAAAGGCATTTTGTGGCCCTATGATCAAGTTTTGGTAGAAAAAGCTAGGTATTTGGACTTATGCGATGCAACCAAAAGTTTTTTATAGGTAATTGGTTGGACCGTAGGTGCAATGATTTACTTCACGGGCGAGGTCCCTGGTGAACCGTCATAATTAGTGAACAAGTGTAAGCTTATCCAAATGTATGCGAGAAGTTGGGGAAAAAAAGTTTTAAGACATTCATGGGGTTCAAAAATTTTAAATCTTATTTATTTTGGTATAATCTTATTTAAATTTTTTCCATTCAGCAATTCAATTTTGTAGAAGAGTATCTCGACAAGTAGATTGATGTAAAACACCTTTTATCCTTTAAAAATCACTTATTGAAATACTTATTTTCATTGTCAAGTGTGTAAAGTGCTGATTTCAATTTCGAGTTTCAATCATGTTTCCAAAATGAAAAGATATTTCACCTCAAATTTCTTGGTCATTAAGTAGACCCAATAGTGTGTGTGATCATCAATAAAAGCAACAAACTACTTTTTACCACTACGAGTCAAAATTTTAGAGGACCACAAACATCCCTATGAATTAAGTAAAATGAGAATACAAACAAAAATGACAATGTGATAAGTGGCTCCAAAATCAATGATCTACGAAGATGAATTATTACAAGAAAAGGCATGAAGATAGTTTCTGTCAAGGAAACACAAAGAACACCAAATGGCAAATTGGTTTGTAGTAGTTGTAGGGGTCAATGAATTTGTTCCATACTGAAGTAACTTGAGTTAGCAACAAATAATGTCTAGTTAGAAAGAAACCCCAAACCAAGATTTAGAATCGAACCAAAGTGGGGCTGTAAGCTGATTAATGGGCTGGATTTGGGTAAGTTGGGTAAACGCATTTGTTTTCTGAAAAAGAGGTTATTACAAAATATTTGCTTTGGGTTGTGTTGTCTTCTATTTTGAACCCAAAATCCAACTTGTCATCTTACACATGCAAGAAAACTAATCTACCAGCCACTACAATCTGTTTTTCACCTACGCTGGATCACTTCTACCGGGAAAAATCACACCATTAAGCTATCCTAGTTGTCTGTTGTTGGCCGCCGCATATGTTGTTTGACTTCCTTTATTTTTCACTAGTACTGCAGCACATCCTGACTTTTGTGCTGGACCGTCTGGATTTTATATTCGAGAATGCTAGGTTTCAATTCTAAAGGGGTGAATACGTTAATAAAAAAGGTTGCTCAATTTTGGTTTTTGTAGTTTAGCCACACCTTCTCAACAATGTGTTTTTAGGGGTGGGTAATGATAGGAATGCTGTAAGAGTATTATTAGGATATTAAGCGTATAGTAGCAATTAGGGAAGAGCGTTATTAAAGGATTTGTTATAAATAGAGGGAGGAGGGGTTAGGCATTATTTTGGTGAATGAATTAGGGCTTCAGCACTTGGTTTATCTTGTAGTTCTTATCTTTTATATTTCAATACTATTCTAGTTCTGTTTGGATTCTATCAACAACTTCCCAACTAACCAAGTGACCTTTCCCATAAAAAGTTACACATAAGTCTCTCGAGGGTATTGCAGTCCTTCACATGGTTCCTAAATAAAGACAAGTAAATAAGGATTTCACTAATAATTGACAGGATTTCCGTAAGAAAAATGGAATACCTAATCATCCTAACGCAACTCTAGATCCAAAGCCTCCATATGTACCCAAAACCATTTTTACCCAAGGCTCTATCTAGGAAATTCTGATCCACATGATCGTAAGCAAAATCAATCTTGAATCTAACCCCCTCGCGCTTACGAGTACGATAATCATCAATGGCATCATCAGCTAGAAGAGCCTAATCCAACATTTTCCTTCTAGTAATGAAGGCCCCTGGCCAATCAGAGACAGTCCTAGGGAGGACTTTCCTAAGCCTATTCGCCAAGATCTTGGCCAGAATTTTAAATACACTAGTGATTAAGCTAATGGGTCTAAAATCTTGGATCCTTTTAAGCTAATGGGTCTCTAGAACTCACAAAACACTTTCTAGAGGTCGACTTTGATACAAACCGAGTTATCCTAAAAAATGTCATGGTGAGACCATCAGAGCTAGAGGAACACTTCTAACCTGCAATTCTAAGCCCAACCATTGTTCTTCACATGCTCAATTATAAATCTCCCAAACATACACATTCAATACAATAGAAAACCTAACGACAATAGCCACGTCAAAATGCAACAACAGATCCATCAGCCAACTCTAGAAATCAAAATCTAAGCGACAAAGAATCCCGATCCCGGGACAATTCTCAGATACAAAAAGAAGGGTAAAAAGTGCGGTGGAGGAATACCGTTCGGAGAGCTGATGGCCAACCTGATAGCCGATTGCCTCGATGCGACGGGCGGCAAGCTCCGGCTTATTGGCGTAGAACCGATTACAATAAGTGGAAACCATTTCCGTCAATAGACTGTCAACGCAACTCTCTGAGACCTCTCTCCCCATGTGTTTCTCTGCGATCAAGTGGAATTGTTGAAACTGAAGTTCACTTCGACGGAATTTGAAAGGAAAGGCAGAGCGAGGTGGAGGATGAGAGGATCGACTCAGTGCCTTGATTCCGCCCTGAATCTAGATTCATCTACTAAATTACGACATGTCGTATGAACGATTTTCTTTTTTTTTTTTTTTTTTTTTTG